AGGGCCTCAGCGAGCCCAAGATGAACCCCAGCCCGGGATGACGTCCAAGATGGCTCAAGGAAGCACAACATGGCTCAAGAAAGCAAACGAAAGCCTCCGAAAGACTCCAAGATCGCATGACGACAGGCTTCTGCGACCTCAAGACGGCTCCAAGAAGGCCCAAGATTCCTCCTGAACTCCGTCGGCGTGTGAAATGATGCCACCTCAGCAACCCCTTCCCCCAGGAGCCCAGTACGAGGGATTTGGGAGAGGGAGGTCTCCCCCCAACCGACGCAACGCACAAACAATACATGCATTTATTTGGGGTCGGCGGCAGAGGCGGCAGCCTTTAAATAATTTGCGCAAGATACATCGCACAATTTACGCGGCGCAAAACTTTTGAAAACAATCGGAAATGTGAATCCCACTGCTCGCGCAGTCATCCCGCCTGCCCACCCTCAACTTGGTTTGCGGTTTTTAAAACCCATGCGGCGGCGATTGCGATGAGTGCCCAGCGCTGGCTGGAGCACCGCTGCGACCGCGCTAGCCCGCGCATGCTCGCGCGCAGCGCGGCCGGCTAGCTTAGCGCGACCGACGCGGCCGCGGTGGCGCTGAGCGCCGGGCTCTCCCCAGCGCGCCTCGCGGGCCGCGCTGTCGCGCGGGCGCTTCAGCGCGAGTCGGAGGCTCGGGCGGGCGCGGCGGCTTGGCGACGCCGACAATGGCAGACATGACGATGATAGCAGCGCTGCTGGCGACGAGGATGACGACGGCCACGGCAAGGGCAGCGGCGGCACCGATGCTAATTACGCCAGTGACGATGATGGCGCCAGCGCGTCAGCGATGAAGGTCTCGGATGTCTACGCACGCGCGGCCGACGCGCGAGAAAGGGCCGCGTGGTATTATTTGATCGAGATTGCGCCCCCCCCCCCCCCCCCAAGCACGCGCGCGCGCGGGCTTTCGCGCGATCTCGACAAGTTGAACGCGTTGCTTTCTGGGGAATGCGCAGAATGGCGCGCGCGCAGTTCTCTGGAACAGTCACGCTCCCACACCAAGTGTTGTTATATGTTTTCGGATCACTCGATTGCGTCATCCTTGCGACACCGAAATTTCCCATGGGTTCCGCACAGCGCGCGAAGACGCGCGCGCGTACATGTCGTCTCATTTTTTGGAACGGATTCCCGGACGTCAACGGCTCTGGATACGCGGGCGCGCGCGCGCCATGTTTTGCGGCAGATGGGGGGGGGGGGGGGCGCCATCGGCTGGGCTGGATAATCAATCGGAATCGCGCGAGAACTGCGAATGCAGCGGAGGGGGGGGCTCTTGTCAGGGAAGGAAGTTCACAATACTTGAACTTGTCAACTCCACTGCCAGCGCAATCGCCCCGCCCGCCCACCCGCGACTTGGCCCGCAAAACTAGCAAGGCGGCCAATGACTGCGCGGCGCTGGCTGGCGCGTCGCCGCGGCCGTGCAAGCGCGCAGTCTCGCGCGCAGAGGGCAGGATAGTCCGGCGCGACCGACGCGGCCGCTGTGGCGCTGGCCACTGGGGTCTCTCCAGAGCGCCTCGCAGGCCGCGCTGGCCCGCGGGCGCTCCAGAGCGAGTCGGTGACTCGGCGTCGTGTCGACGTCGGCGGCGGCAGACGCGACGATGGCAGGAACGACGCTAGCGGCGATAGCGACGATGCCGATGGCAAGGCCACGGCGGCGCCGATGTTGATCTCGGCGATGGCGATCATGGCGCCCGCGCGTCGACGTAGAAGGGCGCCGGCGGGTTCTCGGCGCGCGCGCGCGACTGGCGCGCGCGAGTAGACCGCTTGGTCCTATTTGACAGGGGCCGCCCCGCCCCGCCCCCCAGCGCGCGCGCGGGCGCTCGAATGATTCCACCGCGCGCGCGTGCGAAAAGCCTCGGTCGCATTTGATGAACAAGGGGGGATGCTCAATGTTTCTGGACGAATCCGCAAGAGCGCGCGCGCGCCCCCTTGGGAACATCACGTTGCGAGTCCATGCGTGGTTTTATGTAATCTTATTTGGAAAATGGGACACGAGACTCTCGCACCCTCGCGACGCCTAAACTTGTTGCAAGATGTTGGCGCGCGCGCAACGCCGCGAGCGCGCGCTTCGCATTTATTTTCAACAAATGCATTATATTCTCGTTTATTTGTATGTGTTTATGGGCCCCATTTGCCCCTGTTTGTTCCCCCCTTTTTTTCCGCGGCAAGGGGCACCTGAAGACTGATAATTTGGGGTGGGCGAGCGAGCGCGGCGCTGCTCGGCGAGGGCGGCGGGGCGGGGGCCCGGGCCCAACTGGCCGCGGGGGCCGGGGGGGAGATCCTGGCTCTTTTTCGAAAGGAAGCACCGATGTGGCGCGCAGACCCGCGGCGCAATCGACGCGGCGCAACCGACGCGGTGCAATCTGCAATGCGCGAGCTACGTTGCGCAATCGACATGGCGCACGCGACGCGGCGCAATCCGCGCGGCGCTATTAATGCAAGTTCGCAGTGAACTCAACCCAATTTCTCGCGCAATCATCCCGCGCGCCCGCGCGCGACTTGGTTTGCGGAACCCTCACGGCGGAGATTGCGATGACTGCTCGGCGCCGGCTGCCGTGGCGGCGCCCAGCCAGCGCGCAAAGACGTTCGACTGATTTCGACATGCGCGCGCGAGAGGCCCGCTTGGCCGCGCGCTCCGACCGCGCAGGACAAAATAACAGCAACGATGGCTTCTCATGAAAATTCGCAGGGTCGCGCGCGTAACTTATGTCGGGATGCAAATGTTACAAAACCATTGCATACTACGCGTCGTCTGGAAACTCAAGATTGACACCCCTGCGACCACCGCGGGTTTTGAACTATTCCAGCGCTCCTGCGCGACGACGCGCGCGCGCCGACTTCGTCCAGTTGTTCGCAGGGGGCCATGAAACATGTGCATTTCTTTGAACGTCATATCATTTGTCAAAGATGAGGGTGGCGATTACGGGCCTAGCTGGGACGGTATGATTTCGCGCGGAAACCAAACGACGGAGCAGAATCGCGCGCAGACTGTTCCATTCCGGGAGGCGTCGATAAAGCCGGGGCGGGGGGGGGGATCCTGATTTCTCACTGAACAGAAATAACCCTGCCCACTTCAAGTTTCCAAATCCACTTCGCGCGCAATCATCTTGCCTCAGAGCGCGCAAATTGGTCTGCGGAGCCCGCGCGGCGAAGATTGCTCGGCGCTGGCTGGCGCGTCGCCGCGGCCGCGCTAGTGCGCGCGGGCTCGTTCGCAGCGCGGACGGCTAGACTGGCGCGACCGGCGCGGCAGCGGTGGCGCTGACCGCGGGGCGCTCCCCCGCGCGTCTCGCAGGCCGCGCCGACGCGCGGGCAATTCTGCGAGAGTCGGCAGCTCGGGCGGGACTGGTAGGATGGCGACGTCGACAATGGCAGGCACGCTGATGATAGCAGCGATGCTGGTGAAGACGATGACAGTGACGACGGCAGGGCCAATGACGGCGCCGATGCTGATCACGCCAATGACGGTGATGGTGCCCACGCGTCCGCGACGACGATTTTGAAAGGATTTCGATGTGCGCGCGCGGCCGACGGGCGCGAGCGGTCGACATGGTTCCCTTTTGAGAGGGAGATAACCCCCCCAAAAAAAAACGCAAGGCCGATCGAACGATTTCGAAAAGCGCGCGCGAGAAACCAGTGTTGGTAGCGTTGGCTGCACGTGTTGAAAGCATTTGGTTGTTTTCCCGCATTTTCAAGAATGTGCGCAAGCTTTTCTCGGGGGGGTCATGTTGCAAAACGCTGTGTTTCATGCTTCTGCGACACTCGATCTGGATATTCTTACGAAGCCTCAGGTTGTTGAACAATTTCGGCATGCGCGCGCGGCGACGCGCGCGTGTGTCCTTCGTCCCGTTTGTTGCAGCGGGTTGTATGGATGATTTTGGTAAACGAATGTGCGCGCATAGCGCTTTCTTGTGCCAGGGATGCGTGGGGGGACGAAATTCGTTCAGCCAGGGTGGTGAGATCTGTTTTTGAAATGAGCGATGGGGCAACATCATACGTAAATTGCACATCCCCAAGGGCGGCGGATCATCCCGCCTTCGGGAAGGCTGTAGATCCCATTTCCTATTGAGGAAGGAGGATTTATGTTGAGCAACTTGGTAGCGTTCAACACCCAGAGAGAGAGCGAAGAGGGAGCTCTTCTGAAGCGCTTCTGAAGCGCTGCCAGGCACGCTTCCACGCGTGCCTTCACGCGTGCAGGCACGCGTGGACGCGTGCCGGAAGCGCTCCCGGACCAGCTGCCGGGACAAACCGGTTTCTGCGGGGATTCTGGAGCGCCGTGGAGGAGCTGCTGGCAGGCACCACCACCGTCCGGCTTCTAATCTAAAGCCCTATAGCTCTCGGAGAGCTCTCCGGGAATCTGGGCAACGACGGGGCCGCGACGGGGCGACGACGGCGAGCACATAGCTGCTACACCGACGGCCAGGCCCGGCGCGCGGAACACGGAACCGCCAAACTTCAGCAGGGACCGACAGGTCCCGGCATTCCTAGAGGCTGACCACGACGTGATGCCCCAATAAGAAAAACAATATGAGAACACAAGCCAATGTGTTCAAACAGGATGGTTTCAACCAGAAGTGTGTTATGATAATTTCGCGCAAACCTCGACCGGTTCCTCGAGCATTCTTTGGGGAACGTAAAAGCGAAACAGGACGCTTCGCCAGTGCTTGCCAGACCGACGCCCAGACCAAGACGACCGGCGGCCACGAGGCCGCAACGGGGCGGCAACGGCGGGCACGGAGCCGCCAGACCGACCGACAGCCAGGCCCAGACGACGGGCGGCGACGAGGCGGCGACGGATCGGCGACGGCGAACCTGGACCACGGAGCCGCCAGACCGACACCCAGGCCCACTTCCCCAGCACAGAAATGAGAAACCCTAAGCGAAGCACTGTAACTGGGGAGCGACACCTGGCCGCCGCGTTTGTGTTACCTGATGCGACGCCGGGACATGAGGGTCGGTACGTGTTCCTCCCCAGACGCCTGGGCTTGGCATCCCCGCGGCGGCCGCTAGGGCTGCGCGAGGGCGACAGCTTGGACACGTCGAGCATCTCGGCGTTGACGGCTTCGGCGCTCCGCTTGCCGCCCCCGGCCTCCTGGGGGCCGCGGTCCCGTTGTTTGGCCACTTCGGGGGGGGCTTAAGGGTGACCATGAACAACCAAGACAAACTCAACCGTCCAGATAGCCGACCATCTATATCTACATAAATGTAGGTGTACGCACGTATGCATTCATGCATCGATACATACATGCATATATCCATACACACATTCATTCATACATACATACATGCATACATACATACGTGCGTATGTACAAACATACATACACACATACATACATACATACATACATACATACATACATACATACATACATACATACATAAATACATGCATGCATGCATGCATGCATGCATACATCCATCCATACATACATACATGAATGTACATACCAGCTTCTGCACTTGATGTGTATGTATATGTATGTATGGGCCGCTTCATTGTTGTATGCATGTGTGTGTACTTATGGACACACACATACAAACGCACATACAAACGTACATCCCGTATCTAGGTGTGTTGATCCCATGTTCTACGCCTAGGTCTTCAAAATCATGAAAGTGTCGCCCACTTTCGAGGTGCCCTGGCGGGGAAGATAACCGAGGCCGCCCGACCAGCTCGCTTCTCCAACAAAGCAACCATGTACCCCGCAGTGTCCGTCCCCGGCACAACACCCAAGCAGCACACAGCCTCCATCACAACACACAGCACCCATCCACTCAACTGCTTCCATCTCCAATGCAAGCCCCGTTCTGATCATCGACCTCCGTCCCAAACACAACACCCACGAACTCACCACCCTCGGTCTCCACGCAACACCCTCAGTCTCCAGCTGCCCGCTGCAATAGAGCATCCCCAGGCCGCCGCTCGCTGACCGCCCGCCGCCCAACAACCGCCGCTCGCTTCGCCAACGCAACACCCATGTCCTGGACATCCTCTGTCTGCAACGCAACACCAATCGAGTACACAACCTCCGTCTCCAACACAGCACCCGCCTACCTCACAACCTCCGTCGTCAACGCTACACACGTCTGCTCAGCACACCCCGTCCCGAACGCAACACCCACGTACTCAACAACGTCCGTTTCCAACACAACACCCATGTACTACACCCCCTAACGCTGCAAGAGAGCATCCTTAAGAATTACGTTGAGAACCCAAGCCCGCCCGCCGCCCACCGCCCGCCGCTGCCCACCGCCCGCAGCTCACTTGTAAAACACAACGCCCATGTACTCAACAAACTCCGACTCCAACACAAGATTCGTTTACTACACAGCCTCCGTCTGTAACACAACACCCATATGCTCAACAACATCCGTCTCTCACAAAAACTTTCGCCAACTGCGCAGCCCCCGTCCCAAACAAACTTGTCAATGTATCGTCACCCTCCATCGTTCCGTCTTAGAACTTACAAGAGGAAAGGGAGACAACGGTGCGTCCAGAGACCTGTGTATAGTTATAATTATCTCTAAACGAGAACGATACATGTGTCTGGTTGTAGATGTGTATGCGTTTGTATACAGGGATATATCTCTATACCTATCTATAGATGTAGATGTGTGCAATAACTGTTGTCATTGTTCTCGGATCCTGGCAGCCGCTTCTGGGCCCCAGGATCGTCAACCAACAATTGAGGATGAAGAGCGGGTCCTGGGGAAGTGGCCGAAAGACCCAGGGCCCAGGAGCAGTCAAGAGACCTAGACTTTGGGGGATTTGATTTTCCAGCCCCGGCGTTCTATCACCATGTCTGCCTCTGGAAACAGGTGTCGGCTCCCGCGGCAATCAAAAACGAATGTGGGTCGAGGCCTCTGGAACCCGTGGATTAGAACACGCAGTCCGCGGAAGTCTGGGGCTCGCGCGCGGCGAGGATCTTTTCCTGGTCGACTACATCCCGCTCCAGAACAACCAAAGCTGCCTTTCCGAGGGGCCTCCGAAGTTGCCAGAGCCCCCCGCGGAGGCCGCCCGGCCCAACGAGGGCCCGGGCCACCAAAGAACGCATGGCGAGGACAGTGGACACGGAACCATCAGATACGAAATCCAGGGTCTGGAAGCCGGTGGAAAACACTAATTGAGGCCTGGCCACGGATGTCACCTCCCCTCCAGGGTCTGAAGCTTCCTTGGCACATTCCTTAGCCAACGCCCCCACCGTATTTGTCGTGCTCTGCTCTTCGAATTTCGGGCAACAGGGCGTGGACAAAAACGGCAGCCCAGAACACAATAACACGGCAAAACAAAGCAGGACCGAACCGATCACGGCGCGAACAAGATCCCAACAACGCATCAACAATTGCCCCTAAAATGCACATGACAGGAAAAACCTTGAACACAATGACGGAAACAGCGCTTGAGCACACTCCAGAACAGCCGCGGGCCTGGATGTCGAACGCGATCCTGTCGCCCCGGCGCAGGCCCCGCGTCTTCGCCCGGTTGCGCTGGTCCAGGTTCTCAAAATACTCCTGGGAGGGCGCAGCCGCTCGCATGCATCTCGACGCCACGAGCTTCACTTCAAGCAGACTCAGGCAAGGAGGAGGAGGAGGAGAAGGAGGAGGAGGCAGAAGAGGAGCAGGAGGAGGAGGAAGGGGAGGAGAGGAGGAGGAGGAGGAGGAGAAGGAGGAGGAGGAGGAGGAAGAGGAGGAGGAGGGGGAGGAGGGAGGGCGGAGGAAGCTCACGTGCACGGTATTGTAAACGTGCACCTTCGGCGGTCCCCGCAGATGTCTTGTATTGGCGCTGTGTCAACCGATCCAGAAAATCCGTTAACTGTGTCTGTGTGTTTTAGTTGTTCCCCTCCTGAGAGCGGAGGAGAGGAGATGATGGCGAGTGCGATGAAAAGGAGATCAAGGATGCGGGCTATGACAAGGAGAACGGTGAGGAGACCGAGGGGGAGCGGCAGCAGAAACAGGACGACGCGGAGGATGCGCAGGATCCAGAGGGGAAGGAGGAGCAGCAGGGAGCGGCGGCAGAAGAGGCAGACGGAAGGGGACCCCCAAGGGGCAGGCGGAGCAGAAGCTGGGGAGGAGAGGGCGAGGCTGATCAGGACGAGGAGGAAAACAAATGGAGGAGGAGGAGCAGGAGGAGGGCAGCAGGCCGCTACCCCCCCCCCCCCATATGGCTCCGCGTGGAGGAAGAGGTCGGCCCGGTTCTTCGAGGAGCAGGACACGAAGCCGAACTGCTTCTCGGTGTTCCACGTGTTGATGGTGCCGGTCTCGCGGGCCCTGGCGAGCCCTCGTCCTCGCCCTCCTCCAGCCCAAACTTTGCCTCATCCTCCACTGCCTCCCCTTTCTACGCTGCACCAGCTTTGGCATGATGATGCGTGGCGTCAACGAGATGACCACGACACGTAGAAACGAGGTACCAACTTAGGGGATGTGGCCTCCGTCGTAAACCAACTTGGGGGATGTGGCCTCCGTCGTAAAAGCTAGGCCTGCCACCGTGGACGCCTGGAACCAAGAAGGCACAGAGACGAAGCAAGAAACGCAGTCCCCCCTCCACCTCACCTCTCTCCTCCTCCCCAGACCTCCGACGTGCTTTTTGTTGCACAGCGCGGCTCCCCATAATAGGTCTGAACCTCTTCACCCGCGAACCGTCTTCTCACGGCCCCGGGACCCCGTGGAGGCCAGACACGGTCCGAATCGGTCTGCCGCGACATTTGATCAACAACTCGAGGGTGTCGAGGCCTCTCTCGGCGGCGCCCCCAGGGGGGAAGTCAGAGGGGGCGGGCCTGCTCAGAAGGCTCAGAAGGCCTCCGGCCTTATGTAAATATTTTAAGCCATCCCAAGCCCTCTCCGAAGACACAGGTGGCTTCTCAGAGAAGGCTGGAGGGCATCTGAGGAGCCCCACCGCCTTCTGAGAGGGCATTCTCCCTCAACGATCATCGTCGTCTGGCTCTCGGGTCATAGATCGGGTCTCCTGCGGCCGGCCGGGACGATCCAGGCACCCCTGGAACGTCCTCGGCGAGGCGCAGCCGCTGGAGAGCAACCCGAGGCTGGAAAACCGATGGGAACCGACGAAACCAGCAGAACATACGAGAGGAACGAGCAATGGCATAGACATAACAACTTGGAGGTCCGCGCGGATTTCTCGGATCCGCGCTGGAGCCCCATCCCTGGCGCGCGGAGCGCGCCGGGGGCGGCGACGGAGGCGCCGCCAGATGGGCCCAGCGCAGGTCCGAGAAATCTGCGCGGACCTCCGAGTTTTTATGTTCACATCATTGTTCGTTCCCCTAGCACCCTCCGTCTCCAGCGCACACACGCGCAGCACCTGGTGCACGCGGGCATCTGTCTGCCACACGGCCTTGGGTGCCGTCGGTCCCTCGCCCTCCTCCTCCTCCTCCTCCTCCTCCTCCTCCTCCTCGCCTCCTCTGGCTCCTCCGCCTGCGGTCCTCCTCCTCCTCCTCCTCCTCCTCCTCCTTCTCCTCCGCTCGGAGGTCCCTTTCCGCGTGCATGCTTCGGTTTCGCGCATGGATGTCTCGCAAGGTGTTCCAGGAGGCTCCTCGATGGTGCACGCCGAGTCAAGAAATGCACACGCCCGAGCGGTGCCAGGGAGGGCGAATCTGGCCGTGGCGACGAGGGCGTTCCAGGAAAGGGCAGCGGCATCGGTATCATGTATCATTTCCTCCTCGGACCTGCGCCCCGCTAGCTCATGTATCATTTCCTCCTCATGTATCATGTATCATTTCCTCCTCCTTGGCGACGCGCACAAGCTGGCCATCGCTCGGACGTCCATTCCCCGTGCGTGTTTCGGCATCGTGCGTGAATTGTCTCGCAAGATGACCCCAAAGGCTCCCCGATGGTCCTCGCCGGGAAACAATGCACACTTCAAGCGACGCGAAGACAAGCGGGTATGGGGGAGGGGAGAAGGCTTCTTGGCAGGCTGCTCCTAGAAGGCGGCAGCGTCACGTCTGCAAAGAAGGCCCGCGCCTCCTGAGAAGCACGGGGTGCTTCTAAGAAGCCCTCCCCCTCCCTCCACCCCCCCCCCTCTGCGCGTGGCCGACCTCAGCGCAGGCAGTGGCGCCGCCAGCCCCGCTCTGACAAGGCGCCGAACTCCTGCCGCCTCGACATGACGTCCTCCCGCGGCGCTCGCTGGCCGTCGCCGCTGGTTGGCGGCGCCCACAGGGAAGCGCGCGCACGAAGCTCGAAGTGCGGAGTGGGAATCTCGAAGTCCTAACCTCGAAGTTCGAACCCCCTTCTGCGCGAGGAGGAGGAGGAGGAGGAGGAGGAGGAGGAGGAGGAGGAGG